CCAACCTGTGTGGCCTTGGGCAACCTGCACAGTCCCAGGGCACCCCTGAAAAAAGTGAATACTGTAGTATAAAACACTTATGTGTATTATCTACCTATAACACCTTGGAAAGCCATAAAACAATATTGATATGACAGCATGTGATTATTGTTATTCTCAGAAAAAATTGGGCAACCTGCACAGTCCCAGAGCACCCCTGAAAAAAGGGAATACTGTCGTATAAACCACTTATGTGTATAATCTACCTATAACACCTTGGAAAAGCCATAAACCAATATTGATATGACAGCATGTGATTATCATTATTCTCATAAAAAAACAAATTAAAAACTTAAGGACAAGGGTACTGGGATCTGTGCAGATTTTTCTTGTACTTTCTCTTTAGATTCATCTAAGTAATTCCATCTAATTACTTAATTTGCTAATTCTATCTAATTGCTGTCTATTGGACGAAGACTGTAAAGTGTACCTCTACATTTATAAAACAGAGCTGTGTCATTATTTTAAAGAGAAATATAATTTCATACACATCTGATGTTCTATGTGCTCTAGTCTACATTTGCACCAGACCTCTTTCACTTCATTTTTCTGTTCAGGTTTCCCCCCATCCCCATCAACCATGTATTTGTCCAAAGTTTAATAAGCATGGAAATTCACCTGTAGAGAAGATAACCACCCAAACCCCTCACTACCTGCATGTTTTTTCTCACATACAGGTCACCTTGTTGGAAGCCAGCTACAACATTTTGAGATGACATTCAGTGAAGAACACTGCTTGCCTTCCTCATAAAACCCAAGGGAAACCGAGAGGTCTGGTGAATGCTAATATTGTTTACTTTATTGTACTGCGGAAATGCATCCTTACCATCTTTGTTTTGGGATTCCTATCTGTATTTTCTGCTCTGCCTTCATAGATAACACTACTACTCTTTTCCTGTGTTGTAAGATTCATGCTCGTAGTAAACTACTTTAGGCACATCTCTCACATCATTAAAACTGGCCAAATAGCATATGGAAAACATGCTTGCCAAGAGTGCCCTGTGTAAATATCTTTATTTAAAAAGTCAATAATGAACCAAAGAGCAACAAGAACAAACCTTTGGAGTATAAGAGATATAATCTGTTTAGATGCTTAACCGTATCCCTCTGTTCTCCTCAGAATCTAATTTCATGACTGAATAGAGGAAGGCCTTCAATAGGATATGTAAGTCACATTAATTGGAAATACACAAATTTTATTTTAATTTTTTTTTATAAAAAGGACCATTAGACATAAGACACAAAGGATCAGTAACCCTTCTCATTAACCTCTCAAAATGGGATCCATTCCAAGCCAAGCTTGAAAATGTTTTCTCTCTGAAAACTACCATGCAGTCCTACCAGTTAATTGTTATCCTTATCAAAGAATGACCCACATTAACATTTCACTTGGGGTTATTAGCATATTTATATTTTCTTAAAAAGGAGAGGAAAAAGTGACCATTATTGTTTTTGTTACTAACTTTAAGAAACAAGGTGGAGGACATAAGCAATAGACATGTCTTTAAAAGAAAGAGAGCATAAAACTGCTGGCAAACAACCTTTAAATATTTACTCCTTGAACCTTGACAACTGCATCTGAGTTTCTTTTAGAGGCAAGATGGGCCCTGTGCCTGTACTTCTCTTTTCTTATGTAAACAGCATTAGGCTAGTTAAGAGAGACCACTGGAGGGGTCTAGAGGTCATAGACAATCATCTTCTTATTTTAGTACATTGAGATGAATGAGACCAGCTAAAGACTTTCCTCTAGTTGTGTCAGACAGCATTTTTTCTTTCCAATGACATCATGGGAGGCATTTTAATACTATGATATATGAATGACTTTTGAAAGCACAGGAATTTAGGATGTGCTGCATAGCTTGGCAGAAATTCAAAGTACTTCTGAGCATAGGGAATGTGTGCCAACCCATGGGTAATGCAGTCAATTTAGCTCCTGACCTCACAGTTGTCTGAAAAGAGATGTGTGTATTAAACATACTGTGGATTTTTTAAATGCCACCAGACAAATTCTCCTTACAGAGTCAAAAACAAACAAACAAAAAACACCAAATCACAAATAATATTTAGGAGGATGCTCAAAGAAAATCAATCTTTTTTTCATAGCAAGCTGAAATCTGAACATGTGAGATTTTTTAAATCATGGAGCCAGTTTTCCCTATATAATACTCAATATTCTACAGCGCTACTGATTCTAATATAACAAGAAATAAAAAACTGAACCCTAATCCCCCCCCTTTTGCTATTCTATTGTTAATTAAAACTTGTCTTTTAATGTTTAAGGGTTATATCTTTTTCTTCACTATTAGAGTGCTCTGTGTATGCTTTGTGGGTATTCTGCAATACTAAAAAAAGAAAAAAAATGGAAACAGGTGCACTCATTAACTACATTTTATACTTGCGTCTAAACAATCATGGTTCATAACAAAACCTGATTAATTGACCAAAGCTGCTTCAAAACCTACTGTATACTTGACATTTTATGTGAACAGCATCAGTGAAGTGGGTGAAAAATGTTTCAATGGGATTTTTTTAAAAAGATGCATATGGGATTGTGTTATGTGCTGTTAAATCAGAACCAATCTATAGCAACCCTAAATAGGGTTTTCAAGGCAAGTGAGATATTTGAGGAATGGCTTTACCAGTTCTGGGGAAATCACTGGGAAAATACCCAGTGATTTTCCATGGCCTGGTGAGAAAATGAACCTAGGCCTCCTGACTCCTAGTCTGCAGTCTATCACCATAAAGGGTACCCCAAAAGAGGTGATTATTAGTTAGTTATTTACGGTTAAATTGGAACTGATTTACAATGACTCTAATATGGCTTTCAAGGTGAGTGAGTGGCTTTACCAATTCCAAGGAGTGTCTTAAGGAGTGGTTTTACCAGTCCCAAGCCATGAGCTTCCATGGCTGAGCAGGGATTCAAACCCTGGTCTCCAGAGACCTAATCTGTTATTCTATCCACTAAATTACATTGGGTACTAAACTTTTACACTGGGCACACTGGGATTACTAAACTTTTATTATCACATAAACTTCAGAATTAGATTTAGCAGACCCCAGTCCTAAATCTAGTTCCTAGTCCCAATAAGGGTGGATCTGTTGTACCAATGGGATTGATCCAAGGGTTGACTTATCATCTGGCAACTGATTCAATGAGTCTAGCCTCAATGTGAGTGGAAGTTGGATTTTTGCCACAGTGAACATCATGGCTCAGCGGAGATGTGAAGCCAGAGGTTCCCATTCCAGCATTTCCTACAACACTTCCTTGGCTTTCTCTTTGTGTCCTGTGCTGTACTCATATTTAACCACATTTACTTAAAAAAACCCAACTCCTGCCAAAAATCCTTGTCTTGGCACTATATTTAGCAATTAATTCAGGAACATCATAATGAATGTGGAATGTTTATTGCCAAAAAACACAGCAGTTTCCATCTCTCATCCTTTGATTGAATAGAAATGTGGTTTGTATGAAATTTACAGGAAGAAACACACATTCCTTCTTTTGAGTTAAAGAGCGCATTGTGCAGCTTTATTTCTGTCACACACTTGAAAGAATTTTCCTCTCACCTGCTAATACCCTTGTGTAATAGCCACCACAACACTGATACTCTGGCTGTATTGCATGCATCTGGTCACCACAGCAAACACCTGAGGTATTAAGATTAAGGAGGAGATACTTTTCTTCACAGCACTGGAAACCTGGTTTACTGTGGTGTAGTATCCCATTACAACACACCTATAAGGAAAAAGAACAGTGTGTGAAAACACAAGACATTTCTTAGGAACACAGTTTCAGAACAGCTTTTGCACAGCTGATTCTTATACAACAGAAGGAAAACACATGCCACATGCTCTTGTATTTATTAGTATTTAGTAGAACTGTGGCATCAAATCAAATATAATAATTCTCACTTCATAGCAAGAATGCTACCATAGAAGATATAGTAACCAAATAAAGAAATAATCCAACAAGGATATTATACAACGCTTGTAGATTCTTTGGACAAATGTGTAAAAAATAAAATAAAATCAGGGACATTTGTTTGATTCCAGAGCAAGGAGCTGCTTCTTACTCCCAGGACACAGCAGTGCAACGAATCCTTTCTATTCCATGTGGTGTTTGTAAGGTTAATAGGACAGTCAGTGCTTTGAGCTGAGGAAAGTGGAAATCGAAACTGACTCAGTGGACTAAGCTGTTGTTGGCAAAGGAGTGGCATCTGAACCCTGCAATAAAGCCCAAGATCTCCCCTGGATATTTCAACCACTGAGGCATTATACACTGCCATTTCACCAACAGATACCCCATGGAATGGTGGGGTGCAGAGAAAGGCTTGTCTCACTGTTTATATAGCCTTTTTGTGTTCTAGAGCATCCTTCCTCTTGGCTTTTCTTTCATTAAGCTCAGTTTACTAAACTTGTTAAAATATAAACCAATTAGAATTAAGTATATATATGACTGTGGAAAGATGATTGTTTTATGGACTTTTTGAGTGGTTAAAATTAAGATGGTGCATAGCCACCCCAGTCGCTATGTTCTCTCTTTTGTAATTTTTTTTTAATATCCAAGATTCAGAAACAAATAGATAATTTGTTGGAGACAGAATGGTGTGGGAAGTCTCCTAAAGCACATAGGGTGAGTTGGGCCCAATCTGTATGCCTTTTATTTGGGTCAGAACTGGTTGGTTCTTACTCCTACTATCATACATGGATTATTTGTGAAACCTTAAACCAATTATTTCTATCACCATGCTGAAGATCATGAAATAAAACTTGGACATAGCCATCATTATTGGCCATTTATAAAGTCATGGTCTCCACAGGACCTCTAAGCACACAAAAAAGTTTATTTCGAGGAGATATACTACCTCTTCAGAAGTGCCTTTCTCATAGATCAGGGGAGGCAAATAATCATTACTCTCTTTTATGCACAGGAACCCACTAAGGTTCAACTATTCAAAATATAGACTGTAATTATTATTCCATTTTTTCTTTGTTCAGAGGCTCATTATGTAGCCAAAACAGCACCATCTTCATATTTATTTATTTATTGTATTTATATCCCGCCTATCTAGTCGATTAAGACCACTCATACAACACAGAACACAAACTGCTGAATAGCTCAGTGGTTTAGGTATCTGATTGTGGACCCGGGGGCTGAGATTTGATTCCCCACAGCAGCTCCTTGACACTGTGCCTCCTGGACTCGATGATCCATAGGGTCACTTCCAGCTCTACAGTTCTAACATGATAATGATGATATATGTAATAGGCGTGGGGTAGCCTCCACATTTGTAGAAAAAAAAAAAAAAAAAAGGAATCCCAAACAGCCCATAAGGATAGAGCATGCTCAGTAGCTCAATTATGCTGACTCACTTTGGGTGGAAAATGGAAAAACAACTCAACGGCCTAACACCAAGGGAGGCCGGATGGAAAAAACAAGAAACCCACCACACACCACCAAAACTAAAAACAAAAGGGGGGTGTGAGAACAATAATGACTAACAAAGTATTCTCTTTCAAAGAAAAATATTCTTTAAAGTAGAGTACCCCGAAAGAGGGCACGGCTGACTCATTGGCCTTACGTGTAACACCTTTAGTTAATTACCAAGCCTGCTGTCTATTAGGGGAGGCTGTGGAACGTGTCAAATATGGAAGATGTTAAATCCTAAATTCTGGCCGGTGAAATGGCTGTATGACAGAAAATGAAAGGGCAAAAGTTTGGAGACCTCAGTATCACAATGTCTTCTTAGCACTCAACACCTGTCAATCTCCGTTTACTACTATGTCAGGCCTTTAAGCATATTTTAAATTGGTCTTTATATTCTTTTCCCCATTGTTCCAGAGAAAGGTTTTAATTTGTTTTTGTCCTCTGGTGTTCAGGGGACATCACTATGCAGTACTATATCATTACACTGTACAATATGTAAAAGCAGTATCTAAAACTCTATCTAAACCTATAAAACCTGTAACTAAACAAAAGATAGTTTCCCAATATGAACACCCATGTTGTTCCTTAATATCAACACAAAATTGTCCCTCCCCATGGCATGTGATCACTTATTTATGACCACGAGTCTTCAAACAAAATGATCTCAAGTCAGTATAATTTGATATATATCTATTCCTTTTTAAAGTAAAATTTGCATGGAAATGATTTTTGAATAGGCCTTTTAACTGAAGACTTCTTTCTAGGTATTGTAGGGTTGAATTATATGCTTGAATAATCAAATAATTATTTGTATTCTTGAATCTGTGCAAGCAGACTACTGTAGTGTATAAATATATACTGAACAATGAGTCGAATCCCTGCAAAATGCAATCTCAGAACTTACATTCATCTCATTTTACAAGGAATAGTTATTATGCCTAGATGGAAAAAGGTATTTGCAAGTGTGGCACAGATGGTTAAAAGATTCCTTGTTGATCTTTTCTTTTTCTTAGAGCCGAACCAAAACCCATTTGTACAATTCTGTTTTTGTTTTTGTCTAGAGCAAGCAACACTTCTCACATATACACATGACATTTAATGTAAATCAGATTCTGTTTCGATTCTGTTTGCCTGCTTTTTAAACAAAATCTGCATCACCAAAAAAGACAAAAAATCCATGTGAAATATTAAGTGATTCTCATCCCTAGTCCTTTCCTTTTTCCTTATGTATGCCATTTTGGCAATGTCTTGCCTTTTAATCAAGTGCTAATATTGTAAATATAATTGTAAATAATTTGAAAAATGTTTATGATTTTATATTTGTTTATATTGTTGTGTTTTATTTGTAAGCCACCCCGAGTAGACGCTGTCTAGAGGGGCGGGGTAGAAATCGAATAAATAAATAAATAAAATGAAAACTTAAAAACATGAAAACTGAGCTAATTTCTATCAGGGCTTCTGCAAAGTACCACTTATGAATAGAGTTTTTGCCAGAGCCTCCTCAAACTGTGATATGTACAGAATATTAGAACTGTTGGATAGCTCAGTGGCTTAGAGTTCAATTCCTCACTGTGCCTCCTTGACAGGGCTGGACAGAAAGAGTCACTGGGTTCCTTCCAGTTCTGCAGTTCTCAGATGATGATGATTTCCCATTGCTTGTTGTTTCATAACAGTTTCAGACAAGGGGGGCATTTCAGTGGTGATGACAAAGGTGATGAAGCAAAGTCACCTTTATCTTAAACAAGAACCAAATATAAGCTGCAGAGACCAGGGGACCATTTCAGCTTCAACTAGTGCAGACTTTAAGTGCTTTCATACTTTGGACAGATTGACAGGGGAGGTATCCCCACAGTAACATCCTTTCCATTAACTATTATGGAATATTCAAGGCTAAAGCTTGGGACACCAAGTTTCATAAAGCAATGTTGTTAGAAATGGGAACATTGATTTATTGCTGCTAATGTTTGCAACTGATATTGTTTAATCCACTAAATCAATGTAATTAATTCATTAATTAAACCATTATTTTGACATAATCAATGTGACTTACAGTACATTTACATGGACTGTTATGCGGACTGTCACCACTGACCTTTTGTGCTAATTTGTTATTGGTTCCCTTGAAAGTGCTTTTTGTCATTTTAAAATTGTGCCTTCCAACATGCTGTTCTTTTCAAGATGAACTAAAAACCCAATAAAACATTTATTAGGTGGGATGGGGGGGGGGTCCAACATGTTTGAAAACTGCCAAGTTGGAAAAAGCTGTCATACGGTATAGGCTTTCCCATCCTCATCCCCAGAGGATTGGCCACAGACTTCTTAGACCACTTGCGAATGCATGTCTTTAGTAGGACCAATATAGAAGCAATCCCTGAGGCCCTATTCTCCTGCAGGACTATAATGGTCAATGGGGCCAATTTCCTGCCACATCTATCTACCACCTCTGTAGTATTCACATAGCTTAAAACTACTGGAGTCCAGTCCCTCATGGACAATTTAGTTCAAAGATTGCTTTTAGAAATTTGCATTTGGAGCAAAATCAGCCTCTGACCTCAAGTGGAAGATTTAGCTGGGATAGATCGTTATCTGGAAAAAAATCCCAAAAGTTGAAGTTAAACAGCCCTCACGTTTAAATTGTAATAAACTTGGGTTTTTGTTTGTTTTTTGTTTTAGAAACACCACAGGATTCTGCTGTTCCTGAAACAAAGCTAATCCACTATAAGAGCGAACTCTTCGGAAACTTCTCTTGGAAGGGTTTGTTATTCAACATAGAAGAAATCCACAATATTTGTGTATAAATGGTTAATGCCTTTAATATATAGTTTCAAAAATGAATAGGCCTACCCCATTTTACCAAATCAATAGACTATGCCACTGGCATCCATACCTCCTGTATCCATGGAGGTATGTGACTCATTCACCAAAAAAATTATGTTCTGAATCTTGGACACCACAGAACCTTTTAAGTAAAGCTTAGTGGTACTGTCATTCGCCTAATATATATTTAAAACATGTGGTCCCACTATGACCAGTAATAGGTTCTTTGGCATTAGGGTTCGAATGTTTTATCCATAGTCTATAATTGGGAATGGATTCTAATCGGGCACAGCATATGCTTTGCATGCAGGTAGCCCCAGATTTACCATGAGCTAGAAGGACTTCACAGACCTTGGCAACAATACTGGACCAGATGGACTACAGACTATGGTATGATTAAGTATTAAACAACTTAATATGATTCAGAAGATATAGATAATCTGTGGCAAGTGGAGGGGGACCTCATTTCAATATTCATCAATTGAATCGGC